CTGGGCATCTGGGGTTGTTGGCTGGGCCCATGGCAACTGCTGGTCAGGCAATCTCCGTTGCTCGCGCGCTGTTGTCGCCTCTTGTCAGGGGTAGATGCCGGACACGCTTCAAAACCTGATGAGCAACTTCTCTCACGTTGAAAAGCCCCAGTTGTTCAGTGGCGCCTGTTTGACATTTTGTGCCCCAGTTCAATCCCGCCTCTTTGCGCGAAGTCGGTGCTGACGCCATCGGTTACGACCTGATCGGCTTTTCCGCCGGCCAGGTTTGGGTATCTTCAACCTGCAGAAGCTTGGCTTGGCTATCGTGCTTGTCTCTTTTCTGCTCAAGCAGCTTAGGTCAGGTGGTTTGGACGTTTCCCCATTTATATTGTTTTTGTGGGGTTCCCTTTGGTTTTCCGGCGGTTTCCCGGTGGTTTTCCTTTGGGATTTCCTAAGTGGGCCGGTTCCTAGGAGGGACTGCACGGAGAAGGATCTGGAGACGGCATACCGGCGCCTGGCGCGGTCCATGCACCCCGACAAGAACGGGGGCACGGAGGAGGCCAAGCAGCGGTTCCAGGTGATGCGGGCCAGCCCCTCGCCGAAGAGAAAGACTCACAGGCTTCTTGTATCTTCCTGTTGTGTGTGTGTTGTCGTGGTTTGGGGGTTTGAAAACAACTTGTTGTGTGTGTGGTGTTGTTGGTTGTTGTCTGTTTTGCGGGGTGAGGCGTTGACCTCAAGAAAAACTTCCCCAGTCACTTCCAGACCCTGGACCTTTGAGTTTTTTGGGCTTGGACCATTTGATTGGTAAACAGAAAGTTCGGACTTGCTGCTGGCAAATACACTCAGGTGGTGTGGAAACGTAGGGAAACGCGAGAACATTGGACAGATTATGAACTTGATGAACATTCCCAATCCATGATACATACATTCACACGTATAATGGGGGACACTGGGGGTCTTCGTTTTGGCTATTTTGTATTTTAAGATAGATTTAATATGATTGCCAGGATCTGGAAAGATAGCGCTTGTGTACCCCAGATGTGGACCAAGAAAAAGGGGGAAAGAGACGCGGACACAAAATGCCGGAAAGGGAGAAAGACAAAGGGACAGCAGTGAAACAAAAGGAGGTTGATGTGGACAGGCACTTGCAAATTCAGTGGTAAGCAACCTTGGCCTGTGGGCTGTTACAATATAAGGCGGTGGAAATTGACAGCACTTGTGCGTGGTTGTGTATGTGTTTTGTATGCCGGCAATGTTTCATGTTTTGTTTTGGCTTGTTTGATTGTTGGTTGGTTGTGTGTTTGTTTGTTTGTTTGTTTGTTTGTTTGTTTGTTTGTTTGTCCCAGGCTCGCCATGGATATTGGAGAAGCTAGGGGCTTTTCAGCATATTCGCATCCCTATGAGTTGGAAGCCAAAGAGCCCAGCCAGCCCCCAAGTTGGTAGGGATCTTTCTATCACAATTTCCACTAGCCCCAAACCACTTCCAGGGGTTTCATGGGATCAATCTCCCGTGCAGCCTTTACAGAGCGCATGGCCTAGGCTATGAGGCGCTGAAGGAGCAGTTCGAGCACGGGCGCCTGGGGCAGCCCGGCGCCGTGCCTTCAAAATCCTCACCGACGGAGTGCCCCGACTTGGAGCAGACCGAAGCGCCGGACTCGCCGGAGCCCGATCCTGGAAAGAAGCAGTGCAGTGCAGCTAGAACAGCGCTAGCTTTTCCAGATTGGTGGATAGTAGTCTGTTTTGCATGGGCATGGCCACCTCTTTCATTTGGTGAGGTTTGAGCCAACCTGAGCCGTCCTTCAAAGCGCTGAGTTTGAATAGCATATCCGAAGGTCTTGATGCAACATCTTGAGGCATGTGCAATCCTTGGCATGTTCTTTTTTGTTTTTTCTTGTTGTTATTATTATCATTATAATTATTACGCAGAGCAACATGCTTCAACCGATATCTTAGTTGCTTGTGCGTACCGACGTACTTTTCTCTGCCCCAGGTTGGTTTGAGATGTGCCGGCCCAGGTTGTCCAACCCCCAGCCTGTCTGTTTTTCCCCTCCCCCTTTCAGCCTTTTTGTTACTTGACAGATGGGTTCGAACAACGAAAAGCAATGCCTACAGAAATTAGCTACCCCTCAACAAGAAGAGGGCTGATGTCGCGTGTGATTTCCCGTGCTTGAGCCCCGGAGACTGGTTTTTGCCAGGCAATGCAGGAGGAGGATCCAAGCTCTCCGAAGGACACGGCGAATGACTCGGAAGGTGCGCAACCGCCAACGTCGGAGCCCCAACAACAGCAGACTGGCCCTACAGCTGCAGCTTGTTTTCCAGTGGCAGCCGCTTGTTCCTTTCTTTTTAGTTTGTTGTTTCCATCAACCAACCAAACATGTCTGTTTAGTGTCTGCGTTCTTCTCTAATTCCTCTTCACTCTCAAGCAACATCAGGCAACAAACTACACCTTCATTTTATTCTTCCTCTTTTTGCGGGGGTCCGCGTCAACGTCACCCTGCTCTCAACCAGAAAAAGTGTCTCACTCGTTCCGCGTGGCGGCCACAGGCTGCTCCCGGGAAGACAGCGGAGACCTTCTTCTGCCGATCCAAGGATGTGGGAGCGCTTCAACAAGCCGTGCGGAAGATCCTGGATCAGATGCTCGGCTTGGATGCCAACAGACCTGAAGTTCGGGTCCTATTGGGCAATCCCCCATTTTTGCAAGACCTGCGTTCCAATTGGCACGTTTTTGTTCATCTTCATTTCAGGATGACTTGCTTCAGATCCCCAGTGCAGTCTACTTTCGTGTCAAACCAACAGGTTCGCATTTGCATTTCCATCTTAGGCCCGCTTTAATTTTGTGCTGTCGGGTTTTAGAGGGAGATGCAACTTGTAACTGGTCAGTATGCAATATGTTGGCACCTCAAGCAGATTGAAGCCATCCTGGGCAAATCAAATCTTGACCTTAAGAAGGTTTTGCGACCTTCGAAGCTTCCTTCACGGGTTCGTGGACGCCTCAGCCCTCACGTGCCAGAGCCTGCCGTTTTTAACCTTTTGGTCTTCCCTTGGCGCTTTTATCTTATGGCTCCTAAAGCTCAACCTTCTATTTTCAAGTCCTAGAGACAAGTGAGATCCAAATCCTGCGGGCAATTCTACTACTACCCTTCCAGCGAACATGGAACCAGTGGCACTGATCAATTTCTTCTATGGCAGCTGCGTCAACGACCGTTTCGATCCGTTTGTGTCACATCTTGGCCCTTGACATGATGAACCAACAAATCACATAGATCCTAGGTTTGGAGTCGAACGTTGACCAAGTTAGTGGGGGAGATGGTGATGCACCCAGATTTGGGCCAAGGATGAAGGTGCTCCAGCAGAACATCGGCTGGGTGCAGCGGGATCTCGCGGGCGTGTGAGTCCACGCGCCAGGCAAATCTCCCTGCGACCCGCTTGTGCTTCGTTGCAAACCCAGGGGCGCCGTTTTTTGTTCTGAATTAGCAACGCCTAGTGCAAGCTAAAGTCTGCCTTGCTACTAGAAACAACAGCCCCAGTTGTACCCAGTTGTCCAGCTTCCGTTCATGTTTTTTGTGGTGTTTTGTTTAAGAGGGCTTCCTGGAAAGTCGTCTGTCAACAACAAGGCCTTCCTCTATTCACGGCATGTCCGTTTCTCTGTAGTTTGGAATGGTTTGGAGGGATTCCCTTGAATGCCAGCCATTAAACATGGGATTCCTCTTTATCCAAGGGCAAGCAAGGTTACCTCCGGATGGCCGCGCTTGCCTGAGACTTTGGCAAAATATGCCACAGTCTGTGGGCCACAGTCCTGATCAGGCGGAGTGAGCCATCGTCAATTGGCATTCACGGACAGTGTCATCTACCGTGTCACATCAAAACACTAAATCATCGCATTGCATAATTACATGTGCAGGGAATCTGCGCAATGTGCACACTTGTGCCCAGTTTGGCGCCACACAGAAAATGAATTGTCCATGCTGAAGGGAAAGCGTGTCTTGACCGTGGCTCGTGTAGCAAGTAATTCAACTGGAGACTTAGCGATCGGCGGCGTCCGGAGGAGCGCGCCTTGTGCTGGCAACCTTGACTGTGACGTCCGGAAGTGTCTCCGTACACATGTTGCCGCCGGGGCGAAATTGTCGGTGAAAATGAGGATGAAGCTCAAACAAAGAAGTGTGCAAAGGAAGGCCTCGGTTTTCAGCTTCTATGTTGATTTTGAGGGGAAGGCGTTCATGATATCTCTTCAAGCATCATTATTTCTGCACGTGGGCGCGCCAGATGGTGATTGTTCTCAACCTGTGGACATTGATTCTCGACCTCAAACCAACTATGGAACCCACAAGTGGAGCGGCTCTAGGTGGGCGTGGCTATCGTGGTTGCTTTAAATGCCCTTTTTAGGTTGTATAGAAGGGGGAATGCACCCATGAGCAACGGCTTAGGGAATTTGCACCGTTTGATACATGGTTTGTCCAGGGCACGGAGTTTCATCAGTTTCATCCATCCTGAAATGAACCGCTGGTTTGTGGATGAATGAATGGTTAGTAGTAGGAGGTTCCGCGTGAGACAAGTGAGACGTAACTTCTTTGCAAAGTTGCTTGCGCAGTGCATGCGAGCTTGGCTTTTGCGTGATTTAAATGTTGGTGCTTGGCATGACGGCGTCAGGCCGTTCAGAAGCATTATGTGTGTTTGGCTGGTGTATAAGAACTCCTTGCCCCGTCTTTCGGCTTTGTCCCCGGCCAAGCCCTTGCTCCACTTTCCCCACACAAACCGACAAGAGATGGACATTCATTTGTTCCAAACTCACTTTGGCCTGCTGGCTGGCAATGGATGCCTCCTAAACAAAACAGCGAACCCACCTTGCTGGCTGCACCCCCAAGTGCTTATCTTGTTTGACATGGGTTTGTGTCAAAATATAAAATAACGGCACCTGCAAAATGAGCGGATCACCTTTCGCATAAAGCAACCCACAAAAAGGAAGTTCCCCCTCAAAGGCACGCGCACACGCCCCCTTGGTGCAGGGGTCGCCGTCTCGGCAGGACGGGTACGCCGCTTCAGAGGAGCTGCTGTACTGCAATCGCGGGCGCCTGGATCCAGAGGTCTTCGTGTGCGAGCCAGGCATTTGGGTTTGACAAGAGGTGTGATATCCGCTTCCTCAAACCGATTCCGGCGCGTGCCAGGGAATTATAAGGAACTGTGTGGAAGCTACTGAGCAGAATTAAGAACGGGCCCCTTGCCAGAAATCGATGTGGATATCCTCCCTTTGAGTTCTTGTTTTTTTGCTTTGACTCCATCCATGACAGGCATTGTTATGACTCATGCGCCTCCCATCTGGGGGTCCCATCACACCAGTTAGATTCTTGCGGGCTTGAGTCACGACCTGCCTCGAAAGTTTATGGAACAGTGAGCTTACAGGAACACTCCTCACTCTACAAATGAGGCTGCAGCACAAGGCAAAACAGGTGAGTTGTTCATAATGACTGTTCATATCCTACATTTGACAGCGCGAGAGACAGAGAGGGAGAAAGAGAGGGCAAAGACCTGGTAACTTAATATGAAAATAGAGATGTGCTAAATAACTGGAATGCAAGGGCTGGGGGTTGACAATGTGATCTGCTTCTTGTCGGCTGCCTGCCTGACCGCAAGCAGGTGCTTTGAAAAGAAAGTAAATGTGGTCGCCCCGTGGGTAGCTGCTTTGGGCAACCGTGCATCCAGCTTCTTCGACCTTCCTTGCTGTGCGCTGTCTGGCTTTTCGGCTTTGTCTTGGCTTTCGGGCAATCTCTTTCGTCTGTGTTTTGTTTTTGGGTTTGCAACTTAGCTCTGAGTTGTTTGTGTAGTTGCGCTGAGTTTGGGTTGCAGCTCTTGCCTTAGCTGGGAGTGAAGGCTATGGGGCATGCCCCTTTCACTGTATACCTTGTTGTCCTTGCAAAACATGTTTTTTTGTTCGAAGCGCGTTGTGTTCATCTATTTGTGTAGAGTTGTAGATAGAAGAATCCCAGAAATTAGTCAAACAACTGCAAAACAAAAAAATATAGGGAATAGAAAGGTAAGCAATGCGCGATTCATTTTGGAGAATAAATAACATGTTGGATGACATCTTCGTTATGTGTTTTTCGTATATATTGGGTTGGTACTCCAAGTGGCTTCATATTTTTTCCTGCCCATAGCTTGCCTTCTTGGATCGGATGTTAGCAGCAGGCTTCCCGGTGGACGTGGGTGTGGTGATTGCCAGCGTTCCCAGCCGCTCGTCAGAGCAGAATCGCAAGCCGATCCTGGCGCTTTGTTCCCAGATATGAGAGATTGGGCCCTTATTCATTTGAAGGGAAAAGAGGTTGTTAACACAATAGCACGTGGCAACAGGTTGGCCCAACCCCGGCTTGGCCCTTTGCCTCGTTTTGAGCATCATCCAACGAAAAGGCCACGTTCTGTTTCGTCGCGAACCACAGCTTGTGCGTGAGTAGAGGGTCAGCTCCGCGATGATATAGCTGCCAGTTGTCCGCGGCTGTCAACGTTGAAGCGTCCAGAAGCATAGACCATTGTGTTTTGCCCACTTAGTAGCCTGCGCAACTGTAGCGCACATGTTTGAATCATCGAAGGAAAGTTGTGACCGGGCTTGCCAATGACTCTCATATCGCGATGTCTTACAGAGACCCATGGGCGGATTCTTAAGGCACAAACCGAGTTGAGTGCGGGAGGCTTTTCCGGCAGGAGGGTAAGTCTGTGATTCTGGGCTGAACGTCAGAACCCTCTGGCTTGAAATTGCCAGACATGTCAAATGTTTTTTTCACCGCTCCGGGGTTCTTCTTTGGGCATTCCTTATGTCAAAAGGCGGAAGGCAGGTTCCCTATGAGGAACACGCACGAAGCTATACAACTAGCGATTCATTGCATTCTTATTGAGTGGACAGTCCAGGGTGGGCGCAAGAGATTCAAGCAAGTCGCGTTCTGAAGATTCCTCTAGAAACCTGCTTATTAGGCCTTGATTCCACGGAGCTCTGTAGGTGCATCACCATAAGAAAGTGTCAGGCTTTTTCAGATGCCCTGCAGGTTCCAAGTTTCGAGAGAACCAAACGGTGTGTTTTCAAGAAGGGGACCCACTTTCTCCGGATGCCGGTCGTGCGGAGCTGCAAAGACCCCCTAAAGTCATCTGTTTCCGCTTCCGTTTAAAGCAGCCTCAGAGTGCAAGCAGCGCCCTTGGCGTGAGGCGCTCTACTGGCGGGGAGCCTCGCGCTGATCACGGCCTACTGTGGCCTGGCGCTATCGAGTGACCAATTGGGCCACAATCAAAATCCCTTTTTGGGCACCCTTTTTGGGCTTTCAAGATAATGTAGATTTCCTCACACATTGTTCTAGAACGCCGCATGGACCGCGTGAACCACAAAAAAGCTCCTGCAAGGCAAAGTTTGTTGTCCGTCCCCATTGCCGTAAATGGGTTCGGGCATCAGTTGTGCTTCTTTGCCATGAATTTCGGGCGGTCCATCTTACCAGGTTTGCGGTGCCCCTGCTTAGACATGTCGTTCACGCTTCCCTTATGGTATGGGGCACAAAACCCCCTCCCGCCCCCTGTGCCAAGCGCATCCATGAACAGTAGATGAAGCTGTTCCGCCCAGGCTTCATGGGTAAAACTGCGGAAGAAGAGAAGCTGCTTGGCGCTAAATGTCTTGGTCTCATAGGGGAAGCCACCGACCGGCATGGTGGACACTTAGGGTATGTGTTTTCGGGGTGTTGGTTTTTTAGAGTTTGGGCCAGCCAAGTGACCAATTATTCGCAAGTGAGCCATGCCACCGCCAACAGAGTGGCACAGCCGAAGCCATGAATGAGCTAAGGGTTGGTTGTTTCTCGGTGGTTTACTTTTGGCTTCCCTCGAACACCAACCAGAAGAGGCCTACATTTTTGAGAAACTTCCGAGTGTGTGATCCAAAGTCTTACCAAGTGTCGCCTTCCTGAACTTTGACAAGCCAACTGTCAGTTTCCCCTAAACGCGCCCGGGAGATAGATAAGTCTCATGTTTTCCAGAGAGTTTCTCAGTAGTTGTCCCACCCTGTGTTTTGTGTTTGCTCAAAACCAACGGGGCATGGAGAAGTGTCGTTTCTTCACCTACGTCCTACGTTTACCGGTTTTCCTTCCATGTGCTTTAAGCCCCGTGGTGCTTTCACCATGCACCTCGAGGCCAGCACCTTACGATCCGCTCCAGGAGTGGTGGCAATGCGTTCAAGAGGCCGAGATGTCCGACCGAAGTCACACATCCAATGGGTTTGTCTCTACATTGCAGTGTGTATTTATTTGTTAGGGTACCCCTTTCAGATTGGTTTGAAGGGATACCAACAGGAAAACCACAATTTCTGGTTCATTGCAACATGTCCAGAGGAACCGACTTTGCAAACATCGGCTATACCTCACATGACGAAGGTTCTTTAGTGAACACATTCTTGTGTGGAGGTCCCGTGTCGGTTCTCAGGCAATTGGGGCTGCCTGTCGGACCGTTCGGGCAACAACTTTGTGAATGCCAGGCTGCCATAGAGTGGGGAGGGTTCCATGGGTCGAATTTTCATTCGCTGCAGTCATGTTATGTTACCGGCCCGCTCTTTGGAATTTCAAGTATAGCTATAAGTTAGGGACCCCACAAACTTCAAAACACCACTACGAGGCCTTGTTTGCCCCTAAGCTGCATTTGACCCAAACCAGCTTGGGCCGGCATATTCAACCAAACCGTTTGGAGGTTCTGTGAGAGGGGTTGGAGCCCAAGATATGGGCAACATTTGTTTCCACCGCCTGAGGATCTAAGACAAACCAAAAGGGCTGTTGAAACTGGTCTTCAATGATGTTTTTCAGCAACAACTAGCCCTGGTATGCTATCCTTGGGCCCCTGCTGTTCACTTCTCAAAAGCTGGTGTGACATGAAAAAGCCGTTAAGCACGTGGTCCTGGTGCTGAGAGTAAAAGGCTTCTTCGCCTGCAGCTCCAGAGGTGGAACCGGGCACCTGCGTCTTCTGCGGCAAGCAGCCGGAGGAGCTGGAAACCAGGCGTGCTCGCGCCGGGCGCTTCGTAGATTTGTTTGCATCTTTGCATGTTTCTAGACAAATGTAAGCGTAGCAGGTCCCGTGTTGTGTTTATATGTGTTAATTCCAGTGTTGCCCTTTGTTTTGCAGCCAGTTGTTGAGTCGCACCCTTTGTCTCTTTTGATTTAGTGGCTGCACCACCAAGAATGGCCAGCCTGAGAAAGGTTCTCTCTTTCTGCCAGGGTGACTCCCTTTGTGTTTCATTGGCGAATCAAGTGTCATCCTTTTCCCGTCAGATCACGTGTCAGATTCAAGCTGTTCAGGCGTCGACGCTCAGTTGCCCAGCAGCCAGCAGGCAGCAGAAGGCTACGATAACCATCCAAAACAAAATGTCCTATTTGAGGAAGGTGGGAAGGCCCAACAAGTCGCGACCCCATCCTTCAAACTGGGTATTCTAGAATAGCCTTGCTTTTGGGATGGTGTTTGAAGAGAAATCAACAGAAAGCCAAGTATGTTGGGGGGTCACATATCCAATTGGAGACCTGACGAGTTGACCAGTGTTACCTAAGTTTCCACTCTCGGTGGTTTTTAACTTCATCGTTCGGAAAGGCTGGTTCAAAGTGAAGTTGCTTTTAGGGTGATGCTGATCGGTATTCGCTTGGAAGTACCACTTCCTTGTTGCGCCTTCCAACTGGTCCAATATAGCTTTCGGCTATTCGGGGTGCTCTCTGGGCACACGCTCATTGAGCACCCGGAGGTACGAGGACCACGGCCCTGCCACGCTCTTCAGGCAGGGCGTTGCTCGATCAAGAACAGGTTACGCCTTCGCCAGGGCCTTAGAGTACCCCCGCTTTTGTAAATTGAGTATATATATATAGATTTTTATAGATATATGGAAGTCATTCTAAACGTCCTTGTAAGGAGTTTAGTACTCGGCGACCATCGGTGTTGGTTGAGATACCTCCGCGAAAGATTCGCGATGGAGTTGCGAAAGTAATTGCTTGTTTTGCGAAAGTTGTGCGGAACTGTTTGTATTTTGAACAGAGGGGACTTTCTGCTTCTAAGAATACATATAGCACGGCGATGAATCCGCGAAGGATTCGCGAAATTAATGTGTGTGTTCAAGAATGGCCGTTTCGAGGCAAACCCCCCCCCCCCCCCTCCCACCCCCCTAAGGTCGTATGGAGGGGGGCCTGTAATTAGAAGCTTCCGGATCCCGGAGATTCCTTACCTGGCTGTTGGTCAGCGCCTTCGTTCAATACGACTTTTGCTTTCAGTCACGCACTAGGAGCTGAGTTTTTTTGATTTCCTGGGCCAAGCCGGAATGTGCAACTACCGGGGGGGGGGGGGTTCTAAATACGCTCTGGGATTTGGATTGTGCAAATACGCGGGGGTTTCTAAATATGAGGTCAACATGAAGGAATTTAGAACAACCATTGCATATAATTATATATGTATACATATATATAATACATATATATATATATATACACGTATGTTCCCACACATGTATGTGGTTCCTTGATTTGTTTGACATGGCGGACATGTTCAAAAGCACCCCAAAATCAAGCAACCAAACACATGGCGGCATCCTCTGTCGCATGGACACTGCAGGGTATATTGTAATGGTGGGGCGCAACACTTGTTTGTACACCAGGGAACGCCTCCCGTTTTTGGACCCTAGAGTATGCATGCCCCTTCAACTTGTCAATGAACGTGTTGAGTTATTTAGACGAAGGGAATGGTCCATACTCCTCGTCCGGCATGCTTTTGAGAGAGGCTGATGATGCCTTTGTGCATATTGTTGCAGACCAATCCGCTTTATCAGCAGCAAATAATGTATACCTGCTCGCCGCAATGTGATCCAGAGAGCGGCTTCATTCAAACAAGCCAAGATCGTATCAACCGACATCGCAAGAGCATGCAAGAGCGGTAGCGTATAGATCAAACAAGGGTGGGGAAATCGATCGAGCTATTGTGTGCTTTACAGCGGCCCCGCTTCTGGTCAGACAGACAAACAAGAAGGAACTAGAAAAGATTTGGGCACGATGACTAAGCAACATGGATGGCCGATGCGATTCGGCTCGATTCGATTTTTCGATTCGACCAGGGCCGAAGCGATTCGACCGATCCGATTCGACCAGCTTGCAAGGCTCCGGGGGCACAACGATGGAAGTCTCCAGAAACAGCATGCTCCCAGATGCGTTTTCCCGGCCCCGAAAATGCATCTAGACGAGAGGTTGATTTTTAAGGCAGCTGATAGAAGGAGCATGCTCCCAGATGCGTTTTCCCGGCTCCGAAAAATGCATCTAGACGAGCGGTGGATTCTCAAGGCAGCTCCGAGAAGGAGCATGCTCCCAGATGCGTTTTCCCGGCTCGGAACAATGCATCTAGACGAGCGGTGGATTCTCAAGGCAGCTCCTTGAAGGAGAATGCTCCCAGATGCGTTTTCCCGGCTCCGAAAAATGCATTTGGACAAGTGGTGGGTTCTCAATGCTCCCAGATGCGTTTTCCCGGCTCCGAAAAATGCATTTGGACAAGCGGTGGGTTCTCGAGGCAGCTCCTAGACGGAGCATGCTCCCAGATGCGTTTTCCCGGCTCGGAAAAATGCATCTAGACGAGCGGTGCATGCTCAAGGCAGCTCGTAGAAACAGCATGCTCCCAGATGCGTTTTCCCGGCTCAGAAAAATGCATCTAGACAAGCGGTGGATTCTCAAGGCAGCTCCTAGAAGGAGCGTGCTCCCAGATGCGTTTTCCCGGCTCCGAAAAATGCATCTAGACAAGCGATGGATTCTTTCAGAAGGAGCATACTCCCAGACTCCAAAAAATGCATCTAGACACTAGACGAGCGGTGGATTCTCAAGGCAGCTTCCAGATGCGTTTTCCCGGCCCCGAAAATGCATCTAGACGAGCGGTTGATTTTTAAGGCAGCTCCTAGAAGGAGCATGCTCCCAGTTGCGTTTTCCCGGCTCCGAAAAATGCATTTGGACAAGCGGTGGGTTCTCCAGGCAGCCCCTAGAAGGAGCATGCTCCCAGATGCGTTTTCCCGGCTCGGAAAAATGCATCTAGACGAGCGGTGGATTCTCAAGGCAGCTCCTAGAAGGAGCATGCTCCCAGATGCGTTTTCCCGGCTCCGAAAAATGCATCTAAACAAGCGGTGAGTTCTTTCAGAAGGAGCATACTCCCAGACTCCGAAAAAATGCATCTAGACGAGCGGTGGATTCTCAAGGCAGCTTCCAGATGCGTTTTCCCGGCCCCGAAAAATGCATCTAGACGAGTGGTGGATTCTCAAGGCAGCTCCTAGAAGGAGCACGCTCCCAGATGCGTTTTCCCGGCCCCGAAAAATGCATCTGGACAAGCGGTGGATTTTCAAGGCAGCTCCTAGAAGGAGCATGCTCCCAGATGCGTTTTCCCGGCCCCGAAAAATGCATCTAGACGAGCAGTGGATTCTCAAGGCAGCTCGTAGAAGGAGCATGCTCCCACATGCGTTTTCCCAGCCCCGAAAAATGCATCTAGACGAGCGGTGGATTCTCAAGGCAGCTCTTAGAAGGAGCATGCTCCCAGATGCGTTTTCCCGGCTCCGAAAAATGCATTTGGACAAGTGGTGGGTTCTCAAGGCAGCTCCTAGAAGGAGCATGCTCCCAGATGCGTTTTCCCGGCTCCGAAAAATGCATTTGGACAAGCGGTGGATTCTCAAGGCAGCTCCTTGAAGGAGCATGCTCTCAGATGCGTTTTCCCGGCCCGGAAAATGCATTTGGACAAGCGGTGGGTTCTCAAGGCAGCTCCTTGAAACAGCATGCTCTCAGATGCGTTTTCCCGGCCCCGAAAAAAGCATCTGGACAAGCGGTGGATTTTCAATATCAGCTCCTAGAAGGAGCATGCTCCCAGATGCGTTTTCCCAGACCCGAAAAATGCATCTAGACGAGCGGTGGATTCTCAAGGCAGCTCCTTGAAGGAGCACGCTCCCAGATGCGTTTTCCCTGCTACGCTCGTTTCCGGAGTTGGCACCATGGTTTTCGGCAAGACTGAAGGCTAGATGCGTTTTTTCGGCCCGGCAAAACGCATTTAGACCTCGTGCTGTTTTCGTGCTGGCAGTCGTGTAGCGGTAGAAGTAGTAGTAGTAGTAGTAGTAGTAGTAGTAGTAGTAGTAGTAGTAGTAGTAGTAGTAGTAGTAGTAGTAGTAGTAGTAGTAGTAGTAGTAATAGTATTAGTAGCTCTCCCGGAAACACGCCAGATGCGTTTTTTGGGCCCGGCAAAACGCATCTACACGTCATGCTCCTTCCGTTCCTATGCTCGTTTCCGGAGTTGGCCCCTGGACCATGGTTTTTGTCAAGACTGAAAGCTAGATGCGTTTTTCCGGCCCGGCAAAACGCATCTAGACCTCGTGCTGTTTTCGTGCTGGCAGTCGTGTAGCGGTAGTGGTAGTGGTAGTGGTAGTGGTAGTGGTAGTGGTAGTAGTAGTAGTAGTAGTAGTAGTAGTAGTAGTAGTAGTAGTAGTAGTAGTAGTAGTAGTAGTAGTAGTAGTAGTAGTAGTACTAGTAGTAGTAGTAGTAGTCGTAGTAGTAGTAGTTGTAGTAGTAATAGTATTAGTAGCTCTCCCGGAAACACGCCAGATGCGTTTTTTGGGCCCGGCAAAACGCATCTACACGTCATGCTCCTTCCGTTCCTATGCTCGTTTCCGGAGTTGTACTAGCAGTAGAAGAAGGAGGAGCAGGGCCCCGCCACTCAGGCCCACGCGGTGGACAACGACGGGTCACGCATGCGTTTTCCGGGCCCGAATAAATGCATCTGTGCGTTTTGGCTGAAACCGAACCGATTCGATTCGATACCGATAGCGATTCAAAACCGGTCGCGAAAGGGGGCCGGCCATCCATGAAGCAAGGAAGGGGGTTCTTCCAGCCCTGCTTGTTCCCAGGCCCCGCTGATTTGGAGCCGCAATTACTGATTGCCAAGCAAAACCAGTACCATAATGCGCAGGTATGCAAAAGTATATGTGTGCATATCTGTCTCTCTCTCTCTCTCTATATATATATATGGGGTGCATTCGCTCATTTCCCCAGTTAGTGGGCTCAGGCATTTTGGGAAAGCCAATGTTTAGTGGGACACAAAGCGTTGAAGCCTGTTTTGGCCAATCAGCTCAGAACATGAGTCCAAGACGCCGACGTGTGCAGCTCGATTCCGCAGGTCCTGCGCCGCGTGCGCAGCTTTGTTGGGCTTTGAGGAGGCGGATGAGGAGCAGGAAGCGGAGGCGCAGGAGGAGCAGGAGGAGGCAAGTCAGACTGGTGTGTTTTTTTGGGAGAGGCTGGATTTATGCTCACCAACCCGTTCCAACCATTTGGAAAGCCATATGTATTAGCCCGGTATATTGACCTATTTGTTTGTCCAAATGTGGGTTTGTTTCTACACAAGGGAATCCCGACTTGCTTTTTCCTTTGGTTTCCCTTCAAGGAGTACTAAAGGTGCCCACCAAGAGGGCAGGACCCTCGCAGATCCCTCCTGTCCGACCAGAGTGAAAAGGCAAGCCCCCGAGCTGATGCCGCCGTGCCCGCGCCAGGTGTCGGAGATGGTGGACAACAAGAAGCAACTGGGCTCAGATTGCGAGCTGGCCTCACTACCTGGAGTTTCGTTGTGCAAAAACTCCTTGCCATGCAAACGGAGTGCTGAAATGGCGACCCAAAAGCTTGCAAGGGGGGGGTCTATTTGGTTTCCCGTGCGGAGACACAAGCGCAACCCCAAAGTGTTTACTTCTAGCGCACAGGCCCACACACACACCCACTGTGGGTGTCTTCCATGGCAGGGTTCAAAGGGTGTGCGGAGCCTCGCCGGCGCTAGGCACACCTCCGAGTCAAGCCCGGTACCCCAGGTGCAGGTCTGAACAGGGACAGAGTTGTTTCAAGAGGCACCTTAAGCAATTTACCTAGGGTGCAGTGTGAACCATAAACAGATGCATCACCCATTTGAATTCTGTGATATGGTTTGGCTAGACTCCGGTCGGTCCCTTACCAGGTTTGAATCATGCGTCAGGAGTGCGATCAACAGAAACGGGCTCTCCAGCATCCATGTCTCCTAGGAAGTGGATTCTGGCAGGTGTCAAGGTCCCTTATTTGAGGCCATGCAGTTTCGGAGTCAGGATTGCGATCATGTTTCTTGGAGGAGTTTCCATGCATTCAAGCGGTAGCGGGGACTTTGTTATGTTGAGTTTTCAGCCGTCAATATTCCGGTTGGGTCGGGGCGGAAAGCATTGCCTCAGAGAGGGCCTTTTTGCCATACGCCATTACCCCACAAACACTCGTTGATGTTCTCAGCCCTTCGTCAAGAAACCCGGCCTTCAGCAAGTCCTGTGCCCTCAATCCCTGCTCCTTGGGATGATTGAGACTTGATTTCACAAAATGCCACAACTGGACGGGAACCCGAGCAAAGCGCGGGACCGTACCTCGAGGCGGAGAGAAGAACTCGGTGCAGGAGGCACAGAAGATGCTTGGCCGAAATGGTTTGAGTGAAATAATTGTACACGCTTCGCGTTGCCGACCTCGGCCTGTCCGCTTCTGGCTTTGCGGTGTATACCGCGCTTTAGTTTGCCTTGAAGTCTTGTTTTAGAGTGAGTGAGGGAGTGAGTCGGTTTCCAAGGAAGAGGGTGTGCCAAGTCGTAGGGAATTTGACTGGTTTGTTGGGGGGATTTTTGCCAAAATTTGACCAGAGTTGGACCTGTTTTTGTTCGAGGGGATGTGACAGGTTTCAAGAGGGGAGTTTGACCGGTTTCTCCAGCTTTTTTGGGGGGATTCGATTGGAATTTGATCGTTTGTAAGGGGATTTTGACCGGGATTTGATTACTTTCTAGAAGCGAATTTCACCGTAAAGGGGAATTTGAGTTGGAGAGGGGGGTTGATTTCTGGATCAGTTTGAAAGGGGGGGGCAGGATCCCTTTCTCGAAGGGATTTTGGCCGGGGGGGAGCAATCTTGGGGTGGGGAAGATGGGGTTTTGTGGAGACCGAAAAGGTTCTGAAGGGGTCTGACCGGCCCGGAAAGGCAAGGCGAATTCTAGGAGCCCATTGGTGAAGGTGTTGTCATTGTCATTTTTGCTGGGAGCCTCACGTCTTCAGATGTAGATGCAACGATGCGCGACTCGGGTTCTTCTAAATGTGAAGCACGTGTTTGCCCGCTTGTTTGAGTTTAGGACACATGCAAAGCTTCACTAGCAAGCGAAGCAAACAACGGAGCAACTATGATCGAATAGTGGCTAGCTCCAATCATGATGGCCTTCAGAGACCAGGATCCCGCTGAGCTGTTGCAGGAATACGTGGGCAGGGAAGAACACAGGTTCGGATCACCTGACGGGACTGATTTAGCAAGCGGGAACCCCGACGGCTCTGAGCCGCCACGAGCCGTCCAGGCAAATGAGAGCAAGCTTGGTCAAAAAATAGTCAAACCCCAGGATATGCAATAAATGTAGATTTCCTGAACTGAAGACCAAAATGCTATCCTTGTGACAGGGTCTTTGAGGGCCCTATCGGGATTCCAGGCGTTGCCTTTTTTGGGAGCTAGACAACATGTGGCAAAAAAGTAACGGAATTTTGACAGCAGTTGTAAGGGTTCGAATCTCTGGCTTCATAACTATCACCTGCATGAAGCGGCTTGACCGTGACCGTGGCCAGCTCACATTGGGGACGGGGAGTATGATGAAGGTCCCATGCAGATCCCTGAGTTTAGGATAGTTTCTGGACTGTAAAAAGCATCCTTGTGTGGAGAATTGTTCTTTTGCGCCGACCCTGTTTGGGGTTCTATGCTGGTGTTCATGGGTTGTTCAAGCCAGATTGTAATTGTTTCCCTTGTTGTTGTGGTGTCCCACTACTGTACGGGTTATGGGTTGAGATGGTCGTGATCCCCAGATGCCCAGTACTCCCAAACCTTCGGAATTCACCAAACCTTGAGTCCTTACGCTAGATGGGGGTTGCGACACCTGGGGTTCCATGGCAGCTACCTGTGCAGCCATGACCCTAGGCTGCCAAGGCCGCCGCTACCGCGGCCCAGCGACCTTTCGGGCAGCATTAGTTCGGATCCCAGGGTGCGTTGGCTCAACCCACTCGCTTTGGTACGCAGGCATGGAGCTTCCCCAACGTCCCAAACGAAGAGGTTGATCAAATGTGGCGCCAACAGAAGGTGGCAATTTGCAGCAGATTTTAATAGGGAGCCACCTGAGTGCTTGGTGGACATGAATCCGCACCTACATGATGTCCACCAAAGGGCCCCCGATTAAACATTTCAGCCAAGTGAAAGCAGACTAAATGAGCGCTGCTTGGCCAGTGTGAGATCTGACAAAAGCGCTGAGCCGCGCTGGTGTTGCTAGACATGTGATAGAATCTGCCTGAGCGACAAAGAGCAAAACAACTTCCAGATGGCCGAACCCGAGCAGGATGGCAAACCAATCTCAAACTGCAGGAAGAGCTTCCAGCGCAGTCATTCTCCAAAAGCACTACTGTAGCCACTGAAGATTCGGACCAGATAGCCGCAATACTGTGGGGCGTGATCCAAAATTGGGGACGCTTTTGGGTTGGTGAATCAAAACCACCGGAATCCGACCCTTTAGCTGGAAGCACTAAAAGGTGGTATGCGAAGCTGGAACTCGGCTTTTGCCTGAGCCCTGCGCAGAGCGGCTGCCAGAGCTCAAGTTTGCCATAGGTTAGGAAAGGGGGCATGAGGAAATCTGCGCAACGGTTGTTTGCACTGAGACAGATCGGGGTCTGGAAATTCAGGTAGAGCAGGCTTTGTGACAAGCATTCTTGCTTTGTGGACTCAGAACCCTGCTTTGGTGTTTGCAACATCGGTTTACCTCTGGCTCTGATCTGGCAGCAAGGCAGGCTAACCCGGGATATCATTGCTGCGGAATCATGTGTTTGTTGCAGGGCTGTTCAATTGCTTCACTCATTCACCAACATCGATGATCATGATCTCAGGTGATGCTGTGAAGGGCTTGCAGCTGGATATCCTCAGCAAGGAGACCTTGACCTTGGGGTACGGCAAGGCCTACGGCAGCTGAAATCAACCAGAAGACAGCAGTCTCGTGGGTTGAGTGTCAGTGTGGCGTTGTGCCGTGATACACCGGAACACTCATTGCGGATGGTTCTCAACAGGCAGCAAGCAAGACAGGCAGTCGTAGGGGATGTTGCTGACAGAGAGCTGCAGTGACGGTCCCAGCAGACTTCCTTCAGGAGCCCGGGCTGACGAGCGAACAGAATCTTGACCTCACTGAGTCCAAGCCTCAAATCAAGCAAATTGCAGGTAAAAGGGTCAGCGGTTCTGCTGGGAAAGACATTATATCTATATCTATATCTATACATATATATATGTATATACATGGGGCTGACAAAAGGTCGCGTGTGAACAAATCGCATTTCTTAGTCCGTCACAACTTTTGGGGGCCATCACAACTGAGCCGGGCCCACAGATCGTCCAGGAACAACGTGGGCGGGTTGCTGCAAATTATGGTGGCTATGTCGAGCCTGATGTTGACGTCTCATTGGTCCACATAGCAAGCAGAGAACTCCTAAACCAGATGCACGAAGCGGCTGGCCTTGTTGATCCTTGTTGATTTCAAACATTCAATCTGAGCATTGCCGGTTCTCAGAATAGGGGTCCCCTAAACGGCTTGGTTTCTGTTGGATTCCCCTTGAAATACCAACAACAAATTGAGAATAGCCGATTTTTGCCTTAGCGCAATTTGCGAATCTCAGGTCAGATGTGCCGCCACAGAGCAATTCTTCAGGCAGGGCGCAGAGACAGATTGCACCTGATCATTGATTTCGGGGGTGTCAAAATCGGTCAGAAGCCCCTGGTCTGCCCTGCCCTCTGATATCTACCTTGGATGCATGTTGTGGCATCTGTGTCTTCTGGACGAAGCCTATCTATCAAAGTGAGCTTAGCCGAACTGTTGGAACGGTTGGCGCTGTCCCGATAGGGCAAACATCCTAGCCACCTGTTGTGTGGCGTAGTTGTTGGAGACTTAGCTGACGTCTCCGCTGAAAAGTTGGGAAGGCGTTGAAAACAGCAGCCACCTAGCTTTAAGCATGTCGATGCTTCTATAAGCATGCAATGTCGGCTTCTCATTCCAGCCGAGGATGTGTTGCGGCACAGCTTCCACTGCCAATTTGGACACCTTCCCTTTTCCAAACTTTGTTGTCGATCTTTATAACAATCAGGTTAACCTTGCAAGGCAGTGTTCTTGGGGCATGGTTCCTGAGTGAAGCAAATCTGCGTTGCACTCATGCTATGGCTCCTTGATCAACCTTTACCTTTGTGTGCCCTTCTCGAGCGGGCTTTTGTCTGGGCAGGCCGAGAAGATGGATCTCGAACCTCCAGGATGGAAGGGCTTGTGCTGGCATCCCTCATTCAGAGTTTGTACCAACCCCACGCGGATCTATGGGGTGATTCGAGTCGTTCATCACACTGTTTGCGAATTGAATTGGGCCCCGCATGGCGCCAACACGGCGATTCATGTGTTGACAAAAACCGAAGTTCGAGGGGAGTTGAAGGGCCGGTCGAAGGAGGTGAGGCATCTGTTTGCCTCGTGAGATGGGCTCAGCTGACTTTCGCACCATGTACAATTACACGTTCAGAAAGAATGCCACCTGAAATGGAGTAAACCAACTGCGCAGTTCATGGGTTCAACCTAATCGAGCTTATAATACTGAGTGGCCAGCAATGTCAATCGCCGAGTTGCTTCAGGGTTTGCTTTCTGCCCCTCCCCCCCCCATTTTGGAAAGTGAAGGGACCTTGCAAAGGTGTTCGTTCAATCCCTTTTGTTCAGGGGTCCTTTTGTTTCCAGACAAGGGGGCCCAGAGGCAGACCTTGTTTAGCGTGGTTCCGTGATGCGTGTAGCTG